TCTAATTTTGACTATAATCTATTGAAATTTGATGAGAAAAATCGATTTTAATTGATGCAAATCGATGAAAATCGGCTGCAATCTTTTTTATGAATCACGGACAAAACTCAATTGAAATCGATTTTTCTCATCAAATTTCAATCGATTATAGTCAAAATTAGAATTATTCGAATTTATGTATGAAATTTTGGTTTTTTTGATTATTTTTGATTAAAAATCGATTAAAAGGTGTATGATTTTCATCAATTTTTAATCATTTTTTAATCGATTTTAATCTGATTTTACCCCTAATTTTTTTGCATGGGAAATAGTGAGAGATGTAATCATAAGTTGAATAAGTTCAGATATATCGAAGAATGACTTCAATATTTTTTTCTCTTATCGAAATTTCATTTTCTTTTTCAGATCTGCATGAGAATGGCTTAGAGTGGGTTGGAGTGGGTTAGAGTGGACTGGTAAAAATGGTATTTGATTATTTTATCAAATGTTTTTCAAAGCAAATGGCTTAGAGTGGGGTCTCATGAGTGTAGAATTCTAAGCTCTATCGATAGATATTAACTTCGAGTTAAACGGCGCTTAGAGTGGGTTAGAGCGTATTTTACAAATACCCAGTTAGTTCCTTGATAACATCGATTACAGTCAAAGCTATATTTGATTTTTATTCGCTTTGTATTAATAGAATTTTTCTAATGCAGCTGACCTTTGTTGAATGAAATGAGAAGTCTTGATGCTTTTATGTAAAAATTACCTGAGGCATCATGCGTCATTTTTTAAATTCGCTACACTGATTTTTTTCAAGGATACCTGTGGTTCTTTCTTTAAGGAAACAAGACAGGAAATATCCCATTTTGAAACTGTAATACGCAAATGTTTATGAAACAATAGTTTAAGATCTAAAACAATTGTCCACGTCTTCTGTTCAAATAAATGAAAAAACAATAATATTGTTTTTTAGAAAACTAAATAAGTGCATAGCTGATCATGTTATTTTCTATATCCTTATCCAGTTTGCCTTAGTAATGAAAAATCCTATTCAGATATAGCTAAGTAGAATTTCAATGGTTCTTTCGAGTCGTATAGGTTTTAAAGTTTATTAATTTTGCATCTTGTTCCGAGTATAATTTTTAAGAAAATAAGAGAAAATTTTCGAACTCTCATGTTTTATTGAAATAAAAGTGTTACATATTACTTCTTCAGAAGAGAAAAAGTCGTGAAGCTAGAATGTATGTGAAAGATGAAGTGAGACAGATTCAGAATAAAAGAGAAAGTTGGATCTTACTGTTAAAAAATTCAGCTTTTTATGTTCATGTAAAACCAAGCAGATTTTACTTTTCTCAACAACTTATCTTGCAGAATTATGAGAAATTTTATCGAAACTATGGAAACCGATACAGATCGATGCTCTTTTCAATAAACGCACCAAAGAAAAACAGCTTCTTAACGAAAAAATATAAATAGATCTATGAAAAATATGAAGAAAAAACATCGGAAAATTAACAAATTTGTATAGAGAGAAGACATAAAACCAATTAGAAGTTTGTAGTTCAATAAAGAAAAAAAATGACCTGTTATTCTATACATTTTGAATAAAACTTTGTAATACGTCGACACATATTGATTATGGAAAAGCTTGCTGGCAAATAGTTCTAACATGTTTTAATTAAAATAATGTTTGAAAGAGACAGAAAATCGATCATATAGAAAATGCATGATTCGACACATGTAGTTTGACTCGTACACCGTCCACTTATATAGAACTAGGAAACACCCGAAGTTTTGTATGGATATAGTAAACTGAACAAAGTTATACCAACTAATGTAATGAACTTGTATAATACTTCTTGTTGAAGAAGATGAAAAAGACACAAGTTATTTAGATGGAAAGATGTTCTCAACACGAATCATTAAAAAAATGACAAAGAATGATTGGAAAACTGAACTAATTTCTTTTGCAGATACAGACAAAAACGGTTTTTAAATATAATGAAACTGATTTTATAGTACATGATTTTGGAACTACTACAAGTGAATTTTCTATGCAAGTATAGTCGAAAATATTAACGTTTTTTGTCAAACTATTTTATGTTTCTTACTTTTATTAACGACATAAATTTTCTGATGCATATTATGATTGTTGAAATGTTGTTTCAAACTCAGATCTGGATAGATAAATTATGATCAGTTGTTGCAATTAAGTTAATATTTAATCTTAATGTATAATACATTGCCGTATTTAGACATTTATCGAACTTGTACTGTTGGCTGAATGTTTTTTAATAAAAATAAAAATAAAAAGGAAAATAGATGATGTCAAGATTATCTACTCCTGCCATCTATACTAAATAGTATAAGTTATTCTTGTATTAGATCGGCTATCAAGTATGTGACATCTTTCACCTCTTTTGTCGATTGCATATCTTGATGATCAGTGATATTATTATCGAATTACTGATATTTTGTTTTATTAAAATAGTCCGCAATGCACAATAATTGCTTTAGACTTATCCGTCGGTATCTATAAAACAAACAGTATTAATCGAAAAAATTTATTCTTACATTTTCATTGTATGTAACTGTATATTAGCAGAATCTAGATAGTAATCTAGATTTGAAGTAAACTACAGTACAAAGATTTTATTCTTTTTTTTTAGGCTCGATACTTATTTTATTTGAAAACTATTTCTTAATGATCATGTCTATTTTCTTCTTTAATAAGTTGATTTTTAGATTCGTCTGAAGTTTTTTCTTGTTTCTTTTACAATTTGCAATATGGTTAGAACGTTTAAAAAGACAACAACACAAGATTTTTATGACAAAAATAAAGAAAATCCTGAAATATTTGTATTGATGCGAGACATTGTTACGAATACACATCATATAGTACAAAGACGTAAAGTAATCACGTCGAAAAAAATAGAAAAACTTCAACCTGGTGATGAAGTAAGTTTCGGTAATCGTGGTGATCGCATTCGCTGCACTATTCTTATGATTGGTAAGATCTATTTATCTTCTTATATTAAAAGTAGAATTTATTTTGTTCTAGGCACAGAAGGCCAATGCAAGAATTCTCTCGTGATCGTCGAAAAAGCTTCTGCATCAAAAAATAAACTTCGAAAATCACTAGAAAAGAAAATTGTTGAAGATGATAGTGATCAAGATAGTATTAGTAATTGTGGAATAGATGAAAATGAAGAAGAAGATAATTCAGATCATGAAGAAGAACTTCGTCATCATAATGAAAAACGATCGTCCAATGATGTTCATGTTTCAGAATCTGCTCATACTCAATCAACAATTACAAGTCAGTTTTTTTTAAAGTTTTTGAAATAATGCTCGTTTTTTTTCATTTTAGAAGAAACTAAGTCAGATAAAAATATATCGAAACGAAAATTGTCTTCTGAAAATGAATTAGATGAATCAACTGCTAAACGTGTTCGTGGTTCTAATGGTAAAACTGTTTCAGCAAATCTTTATGCTGTACTTCGACGTAAGGTGGAGTCACTTGAAGCTCAAGTTTTGGAATACCAAACAACTTGGATGCGTAAGTAAAAAATCTATATACTCATCGTTACGGTAAAAAAATATTAACATGTTACATAGAAAAAATGAAAGAAATTCAAAAATTAGAAATATTTATTCATACTGAAGAAAATATTTACCTTTGTAAGGTTATATAAAAGTCAGACAATTTAAAAAAATACATGAAGTATAAATAATTGTATTCTAGTTCACTTTTGAAGTGATTTGTTGGATTTCTTTGTCTATATTCTCGAAATCAATGTTTCATACCATAATTTTCTTTAAAAAGGTAGAATGATAAATTATTGAACGACAAAGAGCACATCGCCTTCGAGGATATATCTTGGTCTCAATATAATATTTTGAGTTTTTGTTCCTTAATAAAATATTTATATTTCCTGAGTCATTATACAATATAAGCCTTCATAAAATATTGGACTGTTTTCTATTTCTATCATCAATTACAAAATATTTTTAACGAGTCGTTGATCTATTATATAAAAATTCATTTGAGTCAGCACAAACGTAGATGTTGTGAAGACAAAAATATCAACGAATCAAAGTTACAATAATAGCGTCTACGAGCTAATGCGAATTTCTGTTCTTGAGCACTGAAAAAAAATAAATTTATTTCTACGAAATACTTAAAACTTAAAAGAACAAGAAAATAGTAGAGAATTTTACATGTATCTACTTAAGTGACAGTTACAGCATCAAATAGACATAAACAAGCTTTTTCTTGTTATATAGTAATGCGTTATTTGATGTTTTAGCTCGTCCAACTGACAGGGCAACAATAGATTATTTAATTGATATTGGGAAGGTTCTAAGTGGAGAAAACGAAAGCACAAATGATGACAAAAGCAATGTGTTGGAAGACGTAGTCACTGCTTTGGATGTTACGGAACAACAATTAGAAAAATGTATAGGAAAAAATATTCGCATTACCGTTCGTAAAATAATGAAGCTAAAGCATCTTTCACCACCACCTGGTTTTAAATTTGCTGATGTTGATCAAGAACATATATCTGCAGCTAGGGGTAAAACTTATTTTCTACGTAACTACATATGTATATAAATATATATATATATATATATGGTTTATTTGTTTAGATTATGCACGTTTAATGCACCCACGAGAAGAAAGATTTTATACTGATGGTGATTTAAATCACGCTATGGGAAACGTTTTTGCAGCAAATACTAGGGGTTGGAAGTTACCGTTCCCGGATCGTTCCCCGGTAACGGGTCCCATGGGAAAAGTTACCAGTTCCCGCGTAACTGGTAACGGAACAGTTACCAGTTACCGAGAAACTGGTAACGGGACCGTTACCAGTTACCGGGGAACGGTCCGGGAACGGATTAACAGAGTACCCTTAGGTCCGGAATGAATTTTCCCTCTTAGCATAAGGACAACATATAGTCATGTTCGGGCCGATCCTGGGGTTATCGAGGATGCTCTATCGTTTGATGGGTATATGTATGGGTCCTGGTCCATCCCAACACCCGAAAACCGATAGGCTCAAAAAACATCTGGGGTCAAAGGTCAAAAAAACATTGAATTTTCTGGAAGCCTTTCGTCCCTTATTGTAAGTGTGCCTCACCATTGTAAACCCCCCCCCCCCCCCCCGGGGTGGCCGCTT